ACCCTTTGAACACTTGCTGCTGTCCCCGGCCCAGCCCAGTGAGCGTAGCATCTTTAAGTATAGTCTTTAGCCCCTTATCCACAGAGACCTGGGCAATGCCAGCTCCCATGAGCCCTGCACCAAGAATAGCCAGATGCCTGCAAGGGAAGGACAAAATGATGTTTGGTAAACTCTTACTCATTTCAGTACAAGTGGAAGTTCGCCCCGCTTACCATTCAATAAACCAGCTAAAGCAGGCGCAGCTATGTTTTAAATAATTTAAAATATAGCTTTAATAAGTGATTGATTTTTAAAGTTAAAAGCAAAAATCCATTAGGTCTAAAAGAATTGGTCTAACCAAGAAGACAGAATTATATTCATCTTCAATCATGCCTGGAGATTCCTGAAAACAAAACAAACCAGCTGCTTAAAGTCAACACTGAGTATTTTTGTTTTCTGAACAAAAGCCAACTTGTAATGCATGCCCAAAGACTTAACCGCTCTTCTTTGTTAATTGCTGGTTAGTGATTTTACCATTTCCCCATTCTCTTTCATTTCTCCTGATATCTGTACCTTTATTGCCTCTCACCTGGATTAGTTCAAAAGTCTCCATGGTCAGAAGGATTCCTTTTATGTTAAAACACTCAAACCATAAACACGGAACAGTATTTAACCTTATTTATAATATTTTTTAAAAAGGAGAATGAGAATGCATTATTTGTTTGTTTGTTTTCTGGTGTGAGAGGGGTTTGCTGGCAAGTTAGCTTTAGCTTAACAACAACTGTAACATCTAAAACTAAAACAGAACTCAAGCTAAAACATCATTCATATTTTAACTGTTATACTCGGCTTCATCAGAACTTAGATGAGGGCTTGATAGTTGGTTTAATGTTTGTCTACAATAGCACAGAGTTAAAGTGAACACATTTCACAATCCACTGCATCTCTGTGACTAACATCTTCAGCATCCCTGAAATGCCCTGCTAGTGTAATTACCTAGCAGGTTAACATCTACGGTGTCTCATCCTTTACTAGTCAACTGTTTTTTGTGTGTGGGTCTGTTTTCCCCTGTGATATAGGGTCTTGCTTTGTTGCCTGGGCTAGAGTACAGTGGTGTCATTATAGCTCACTGTAACCCCAAACTCCTGGGCTTAAGCGATACTCCTACTTCAGCCTCCCAAATAGCTGGGACTATAGGCATGTACCACTATGCCTGACTAATTTTTCTATTTTTTGAGGAGGAGACAGGGTCTTGCTCTTGCTCTAGGTGGACTTAAACTCCTGGCCTCAAGCAATCCTGCCTTGGCCTCCCAAAGTGCTAGTATTATAGGCGTGAGCCATTGTGTCCAGCCTTGTAAGTCAACTATTGAGTGATAAAAGCACTGAAATGTGGTTTGAAGAATGCTTAGCACGGAATTTTATCTGTACACTAATTTATATTTCATTAATTTTTTTCTATAAGTACTGCCCTTCATTTATTAGGACTTATGGAATGCATAGTTTGTATGAAAAATTTATAAAAACAGAAATCAAAGAAGAAATACCAATCATCATCCAAGGCAAGGGGGAAAAGGCCCAGAGCAATGATTTTCAACCGGTGTGCCACAAACATTTTTAAAGATAAATATTTATTTTTGAAAGAAATTCAAAGCACAGTAAGTATATTCTTTTTAAAAATTTTTTTTAATACACATAATTAAGTGTGCCATAGAAGTTTAACCATAGCTTCAAGTGTGCCATGAGATAAAAAAGGTTGAAAAACACTGGCCTAGATAGATAGAAGTGTTGACCAAGGAAGCAGGAAAGGGGGCACTCTTGTTTCAATGTTTTTTATTAAATTTTCAGTTAAATCTATTGTGCCTTGGATATATTAAGTAATAATTTATTCTTCATTTCAAGATATTGCTACCTTTCTCTTCAATTTCGTTCCCTAGGTAGGGCAACTCTTATCTCTTCCTTTTTTCTGACCATTTAAATCTGAGTACAGTAGAACTCCTGTAAGTTGACTACTCAAGGGACTGTAACAAACTGGTCAATATATGGAGGTGGTCAACATAAGAAACGTCCACTGAGTACATGTAGTACATGTCCAGTCTATGAAAATTAGGTCAACTTAAGGAGGTGGTTGATGTAGCAAGGTGATCAGCTAGAGAGGTTCTACTGTATTTGAATATTTAAGGTGATTTTTTTCTGTATAAGTACTGTGTAATAATTGATTGCACCACTGGAGGTCCTTAAAGATGATTTTTTTCTTACCTGCAAATGCTTATTTAAGGATATTTAATTTCCAGCTTTATTTATTATTATTATTTTTTGAGACAGAGTCTCACTCAGTTGCCCTGGGTTTGAGTGCCATGACATCACAGCTCACAGCAACCTCAAACTCTTGGGTTCAAGTGATTCTCTTGCTTTGGCCTCCTGAGTAGCTGGGACTACAGGCACCTACCATAATGCCTGGCTATTTTTTTAGAGACGGGGTCTTGAACTCCTGAGCTCAGGCACTCCACCAGCCTTGGCCTCCCAGAGTGTTAGGATTACAGGCATGAGCCACCACACCCTGCTAATTTCAAGCTTGAGAGTGTTCTGTTAATAGTTTTTTCCTACTTTGTGGTGGTTTTGGGGATGGAGAATTTTCATAACCTTAAGTATTTTGATTCTCATTTTCTTTTTTCTCATATTGGCTTTATGCGCGTGTTGTCTCTCTGTTTTGTGTATTTAGTATACAATGTCGCCTTCTGCAGGGGGGTATTGTATAGTATCTGCAGGTGAAAATAAAAGCTACATGCAGGCAGGAGGATTAGTCTGGAGTGGCTAACTAGGTCTCTTAATGTAAGAGTATCCTTTCCCGGCTCAGCGCCTGTGGCTCAAGTGGCTAAGGCGCCAGCCACATACACCTAAGGTGGCGGGTTCAAATCCAGCCCGGGCCCGCCAAAACAACAATGACGGCTGCAACCAAAAAATAGCCGGGTGTTGTGGCAGACACCTGTGGTCCCAGCTACTTGGGAGGCAGAGGCAGGAGAATC